GAGGATATGCGACTCGTCGCAGACATACTTTTTCAATTGTGAGACATGGAAGACGTTGTGCACCTAAATAAATCACACGTTAGAATATTTTTACCAAGGTAATCACTAACGAGAGGTTTTAGCGTGTAATATACCTTAGCTAACGCTATGGGTAGAGCTAATCGGTACGCCACCCTTCTCACTCGCTCGAGGATATCATATGGGCCAATGAACCTCGGACTCAGCTTTCCCTTTTTCTCGAATCTCATCACTCCCTTTGTCGGGGAGACCCTGAGTAGGACCTTCCCTCCCACTTCGAATTCAGCTAGCTTCCTCCCCAAGTCTGCATACAATTTATGTCGATCCTGTGCAGCTTTCATCCTTGCCTGAATCAGCTTCACTTTCTCCATGGTGTCTTGGAGGTAGTGAGGCCGTAACACCACCTTGTTCGTCATGTCGCCCCAACATATTGGGCTTCTACACTTTTTACCATATAAAGCTTTGGGCAGACTCTTAGCAGGGGAAAGATTCTGGGGTTTGATTGAGATTGGTTTAAGGGCACAACGAGGACGTTGCGATCCTAAGTGGGGGTGATTGTAATACTTGAGATTTAATATAAACGGATTAATAGTACTACTCATACCAACAGAGGTGCATCTCCTTTTAAAGGAGCTCATCACCTAAGAACTCCAAAGTTAAGCGTGTTTGCACGGGAGTAGTCTTGGGATGGGTGACTCCCTGGGAAGTTTCTCATGGCGCGCATAAGTGAGCACAAAGTGCGCGGTAAGGCTCGTGGTAGTTTGTGAGAACATTACTAGAGGTCTGGAGTAACTACCTCGGGTCCTTCGGGGTCGGGGTGTTACAGTGCCAGTCAAACACGGCAAAGTTTTAAGGGACGGAGGTAGTATATATGTAGGAATATGCCAAATATATATATTTAAGAATCTGCCTGATATCTATTTAAGAATACTTTGTATTTTGATAACTCTTCTATTATAAATATATATGTTAGGACTCCTATTGGAGTACCCTTTCCCATTATTTCACATGACTAATACGGCACATATCACCTTCTCCGCGTCGCTGACCACAGTGCTTGCTTCTAGCGTCTCATTGAGTTCGCTACCTGCTGTTGCCTACATCCGCGCAGCCCACCTTCTCTGTGTCGCTGACCACGTTGCTTGCTTCCAGCGCGCCGTTGAGTTTGTCGCTTGCTGCTGTAGACGTGACTCTCTAGCCGAGTCCGGTTCGGCTGCTCACAGAGTTGTTCCAGAGCGCTACGTCTGTCACACTCTCTCCGACGACCCTGGCATGATCCCATCATCTTCTTCCGAGCATGGTTGTCGTCGGCCGGGACCCTCTCCTCTACCCACTTCATGCGCTGCTCTTGCTCAATGTATCTTCGGGGGTCTCCAAATTATAGACAATATTGGCAGCCTACCCCGACATATATCGGACATCCGACTGCAGATCTACGTCAAGATTTGCTGTATTTCTTGGTCCTAATCTGGTTTCTTGGAAGTCGGTAGAAACAACCTACTTGCTCATGGAGTGATGGAGATCTTATTGTCAAATATGGATGTTTTTACTTGGACTGTAATTTGCTGGTCTGGTCTGGTCTGATCTGCTCTGGTCTGGTCTGGTCTGGTCTGGTCTGGTCTGGTTTCTTTGTATCTTTATAACTATCCAAGTCTGGTCTGATCTGGTCTGGTCTGAACTGGTCTGGTCTGGTCTGGACTGGTCTGGTCTGATCTGGTCTGGGGCAAATTACAGTCCAAGTAAAAACATCCTATGTGCCTCCAAATCTCCCGCTGGCGGATATATTTACTAAGAGTGTGTCTAGTCAGCAATTTCATTTTTTAAAAGACAGCATGCGCGTTGTATCTTTCGCACAGTTTGAGGGGGTGTATTGGCCTAGTATATATTTAGGAATCTGCCTAATATATATTTAAGAATCTGCCTAATATCTATTTAGGAATACTTTGTATTTTGACAACTCTTCTATTATAAATATATCTGTTAGAGCTCCTATTGGAGTACCATATCCCATTATTTCACAATGACACTTGGTCGCAATAAATCAAACTCACAATTAAATGAATTGCACTGCAGCTCGACCTGGAAAATGGACCATGAAAATGGGTGGGAATCTTGCTTGAGTTTCCACTCTGTTTTGTATATAGAGAGATTAGTCACTTTTTTGGATATTTTAAAAGATCACTTATTTGTCAATTGCCCATTTATTAGTAATATTTAGGTAGAAACCCTATGTTAAAATATGATCATATACTTTCAGAATGATTATTTGAGCTTAAAAAATATAATACTACTAGTGTTTCATATGATTTTTTCTCATATTTTGAAAGGAAAAAAAATCATCCCTGACCAAATCTTTTAAAATTTGAATGGAGAATCTTTTCCTTTTGAAAAGATTGGTGTTAGAATATCGTGTCTCAAATTAGACATATGTGAATCTTATATTGGTTACTAAAGTTTCATATGAATCAAATTGAACATTATTGTTAATTGTGAATATCATATTAGCTACTAAGATGTCATAATTCGTCGTTTTTGGACACTCATTTATGATTCTCTTCTTTCACTAATAAATATCATTAGTCTTAATTTTCATTTCTTTTTTTGTCGACAAATTGACTCAATGAATGTATGTAGTTTTACAACATTTAATTCGAGGTTTTAGAATATGTAATATGATTTTTTTATTAAGAACTTACATTTAAGAAGCTAAAAATATATTTAGGACTTTTCCTTCATACGATTATTATGAAACTTTGAAAAATAGCGATTTTTAAATTGATTTAACGAAATTAAAGAATTCAGACTATATAATAGATTTTCTTAATGGGAACCTCTAATTATATATTTTAAATCTAAATACACGAATTAAGTTATTTCAGTTTTTAGGTACGAAAAGAAAAGGAAAATGAATACTAATTGTTTATATTTACGAAATGTAAAAATCTTTGAAACGTTAGGATGTTTTTACTTGGACTGTAATTTGCTAGTTTAGTTTGATTTGATATGAACTGGTCTGGTCTGTTCTGGTAAACGTCTGATTACTGCGTATTTTATAACTACGGAAGTCAAGTCTGATCTGGTCTGATCTGTTTAAGTTTGGCCTGGTCTGTTTTGTTCTGTTTAAGTCTGATTTGTTATGGTCTTTTAAGATCTGATCTTGTCTGATCTTTTTAAGTCCAAGTAAAAGTCTGATCTTGTCTGATCTTGTCAGGTCATAATGTTCAATTTGATCTATTTTGAAACTTTAATGTCATACTCGTATATGATATGAAAAAATGACCGCTGTAGAACCTAAGAGTTCCGGTTGGACAAATCTAGAACCATGCTTAAAAATGACAAAAAAGTGACTACTTAAAAATGAATATACAAAAATGCCCTTAACATAACCCTAACTTCTTCAGCCGTTCAGCCTTATCATCTCATGAATCAAGCCGCCGTTCTATCTTCCTCGGCTTGTCCTTGGCCGCCAAGCTTCTTGCGCCGCCCATCTTCTTCAGCGTTGCCGTTTCCCGCCATCTAGCATCTCACCGCTGCAGAGGATTGTCGGCAGCTTGTCCGCCGCCTCCGTCTCCTTCGACGCAGGCCGCCTACCTCGACGCCTGAGCTTCTCGTCGCCTTCGATGAATTAGTTGTCGTAGGATGGTCCACGGCCGCGGTTAGTGTTGCAGGTTCGTCAGCGGCCGCACCTAGAGTTCTAGGGCTGGAGCTGGGGCATGAGAGGCATGTCAGAGAGGGGGGTTGTGGCTGGGCAGGGGGCAGGGGAGTGGCGGTTTTGGACGGGAGCAGCGTTTACTGGACGAGGTGGCTGCGATGGCCGGAGTTGGTGGTCGCCAGAGGTTGACGGAGGTCGCCGGAGGTGATGGTCGCAGGTGGTGATGGTTGCCGCCGGCGGTGGTCTGCGGTGGCCATTATCGGACCTTGTAACTATAAATGGTCTAACTATAATTGATCGAATTGGATAACTATAACTGATCAAATCGGGTAGCTAACATATAGGATCATGTAACTCAAACTAATCGGGTCAGGTAGATAATTACTCTCTCTGTAACATTCATATCTTTCTACTTTCCTTTTTTGGACGTAACATTTATATCTTCCCATTTCTAAATCTTCCCATCATACTCTCAATAATTTAAAAAATAATACACGACTACGCCTATCTTTTTTGGATGTATCCTTCATTGCATCACATTATTTCACCATCTTCTTATCATACCATCAACAGTTCATACTCTATTTCACTATTCTTAATCTCACCCACTTTGGAAGTGGGATGATATATCTGATACAGAGGGAGTATAATTTTGTGGAGAACAAAGAATTTTGGGAGAACAATCAAATAAGTCATCGAACTTACATAAAAAGTGCAAATCACTCCTTTTATAGGAGGTCATGTTCCGCCGTCATCATTTAGGGCGGTTTCTAGTGGAATTTTTTGATGAAATTTTTTGAGCATCTTTTTCATTAAATGTAGTTTACCCATGCCAAATTTAAACTAAAATTTCAACCGAAAAGACATATAATCCTATTTGTGAAGTTGTTATACCGTGGGAGCAGCCCACGACGAGGATTATACTCCCATATGTGTTATTTGACTTAATTATTAAATAAAAAACGCGGATGAATAGTAACTTTGAATTTTTTTCAAGTTTTTTTCGTGATGTAAATCCTTTGTAAGAAAATGCAACTCGCATTATTAAACATGTAACTTCAATGAGCGGCAAATGTAACTTGTGTCCTGAAAAACTCATGTTACTCTCTCTAGTAGTTTGATCATTTTTCATGTGTGAAATGTAAACCGCATGTTATAATATGTACTTTAGGCAAATCAAAATGTAATTTGAGGTGTAAAAAATATAACTTGAGGAAAACAAAAAATGTAAATCACGTTAATTGAAATGTAATTTATGATAATCCAAAATGTAAATCGTGTTAATATAAATATAACTTTAGCCCAAATCAAAATATGTGTCTATTACTATATTATCCACAATTCCACACTGCTTGTATATTGCTTTAATTAATAGAAGTAAGGTCCCTAGAAGTAAATACAGATTACAGAGTACTATCACAGATTTTTTTATATTGAAAATAGTACTATCGCAAATTAGCAAGTAGCAACAGAGTAAGGTCCCAGGCTTCTAATTGGGGGTTCCGATCATAGCAACAGAGTAAGGTCCAAGGTTTCTAATTGGGGTTTCCGATCGGTGAAGCACGTCATCTTATTAGCGACAGACTCCGGGAGATATAATCGATTATTTCGATCTGGGATGGAACAATCATGGTCGCAATAAGGATAGGGAGGACAAACCGGCCTAGTGTTTCGACGCAGATGAGATGCGCAGCAGGCATAGGAATTGCAGATTACCAGATGCAGAACGAGGAGCGGATAAATCTAAGATTGAAGATGGAAGATGGGAGCCAAGTCTCTCAGATGATGTGACGGCTTTTTGTTTGAGTGAAGCAAGGTAATTTGCGATTCTAATTGGAAAAACAGTGCCGTTTTGGGATCTGTATACCTTGTTCACGGTATACCGATCCCACGGTATAATTTGCCCTATTTGTGTACTTTTGCTAAGTTTTAGTATACCTACGAAGTAGGGTAGTTCTAGATGTAAACAAAATTTGAACACAAATTGCACATTGTCTGTGTACACGGATATTTTGACTTAAAATTCTACTTTTTTTAAACAAATTATCTATATACACACGTAATTACGGGTTGGGTTGGGTTGTGTACAATTTGTGAACTAATTTTGTGTAGAAGAGATAATTTTTCAACCAAGTACTCTGTAATCCACCGAATCCATGCCCAATCATATCAATGCCCTGAAACATAGGGTGAATTTTCCATTTAATAATCTGCCAAGCCAAAGCAACACTCTGCCATCCTATCCTTCCAGCATACAAATCACAATCATTTTCTTCTTACAAATCACAATCATTTTACAATCATTTTCTTCTTATTTCACGCTTCCTTACCTTGCCTCCAAGTTTTTGATTGCAGAGTGAAATGGCTCAAGAAGAAGTGATATTGTTGGACTTCTGGCCGAGCATGTACGGGATGAGGGTAAGGATTGCTCTGGCAGAGAAGGAGATTAAGTATGAGTATAGAGAAGAGGACCTCAAGAACAAGAGCGACCTGCTTCTGAAGATGAACCCGGTTCACAAGAAGATCCCGGTTCTCATCCACAACGGCAAGCCGGTCTGTGAGTCAACCATCGTAGTGGAGTATATTGATGAAGTTTGGAAGGACAAGGCGCCTCTGCTCCCCTCTGATTCTTATCAGAAATCCCAGGCTAAGTTTTGGGCCGACTACGTTGACAAGAAGGTATAGCATATACAGAGTACTCCTTAGTCCTTAACTTAGGGGTGAAGGGAAAATCCTAAAACCCGAAACCTACCAACAAATGGACCGAAACCAAACCGACCAAAACCCATTAATCATTGGCCATTCGGTTTACGTTTTTACCTTTTGGGTTCAAAAACAGACCTAACCAAAACCGACCTACAAAAACATGCTAAAATGCGCCGATTTATAAATAATACTGTTAGCAGATGAATTGTATTGCAGAAAGTATAGGGAAATTGTCCTAACAAGAGTAAAAACATTATGAAATTCTAAAATAGGACTATCATGTTTTTATTCCCGAAATATGAATAATTAGCGTCATGTTTTGGAATACCAAACTTTAAACATGACTTCTATTTAAGGAACAAAAACATGACATCCTATTTTGGAATTTCAAAACATTTTTACTCTCGTTTTGAGAATTTCCCAAAAGTATATGACGGGTTGTCTTCCAAGTTAAAAGAAAAATGTTAACTCTTTTGAAGCATTTAAGTAAAAAACGCTATTTATAGTTAGAACTTTCATAGTTTCATGGATGCATACTCTTGAACTATACATGACCGCTTTGATTGATATTTTCTCTAATAATACGTATATACTTTAGGGGTATTTTGTGTCAACTTTTATGTTAACAAAAAGTAAGTACATCTTAGAAGGTAAGCGGGTTGTGATGGAGGGACAATGGCGTAGACAGAATCATAAATTGAGCTGAAGAAATAATAAGAATTTTTACATAGTGTTTTTTGAGATAAATTTTTACATGTAATTAGAGTTCTTACTTTTTATTTCAGTCACAAATGAGTTCATATCAAATCAGACTTTGATAACACAAAAGTCAACTAATGTCCGGTCTTATGAGAGAAGACTAGTATAGACGATATCAAACTTAAACAAATCAAAACAAGCTCAAACACCCAGATCAGTTCTGTAACAGACTTAACACTTCAATCCAAGTGAAAACCACCCATAATATAATTCTGGTGGCTTAACATCTACGACTTGTTTAGTAAGGCGTAGTATGTATTTTTCTGAAATAAGTAAAAAAATTATAGTAACCTCTATTGAAATCTGTAAATAAATAAGTGTAAACTAATACGTAGTACTACCAATACACAGAAATAAGCAGATTACTATCAACTTGTTGCACCACTGCAGGTTCATGATCCTGGTATGAAAGCATGGACTTCAAAGGGAGAAGAGCAAGAGGCAGCAAAGAAGGAGTTTATAGAAGTCCTCAAGGTGTTGGAAGGAGAACTGGGAGAGAAGCCATACTTTGGGGGTGAGAAGTTTGGGTTTGTGGATGTTTCCCTCATTGGATTCTACAGCTGGTTTTATGTTTATGAGACTTTTGGCCATTTCAGCATAGAAGCTGAGTGCCCTAAACTGATTGGTTGGGCTAAGAGGTGCATGGAGAGGGAGAGTGTGTCCAAGTCTCTTCCTGACCCTCACAAGGTCTATGAGTTTGCCCTAATGCTGAAGGAAAAATGGGCATTGCCTAAACAGTGAACACCACTCATTATAGATGTATAGTATATGCTCAATTTGCTTGAGTGTCTGAATAATGTATGTATGGCAATAATGTTACTTTCATCTATGTGGTCTAATCAAGTTTGTGTTACAAACATGTTTTCATTATTTCTGTAAGTATTTCCTAAGTATTGCATTTTGATTCTATCATTTCCACATGTATCACAATTTTCTAATTTTCTATGTCCCTTTTTAACTGTCATATTAGGTTTTTCACGATAATTAAGGAGTGTCTATTGTAAAAGAAAAAAGAATAACTAAGAACAGGAAAATAATGAAAAGCTAGAAAATGAAAACATTTTGTAAACTGTAAAAGAAAATACAGATGATAAGAATGAGGGTACAAAATAGTGAAATACAAACAATAAGAATGAAAGTATAAAAGTATTTTATAGGAAACACTTATAAAAAGGTAAACAAATACTCCGTAATAAAACTTTTAAATCAGACTTTACACTCCGTTTTTTTTAAACTTTGTATTTGTATCCCAACCTTATATGAAAAGACAAAATTGTCCCTCAATCACAATATGTTGAAGCTCAACAGAATTGTTAATGGAGGGGCATTTTCATACGGGGTTGAGGTGCAAATACAAAGATTTTTAAAAATGGGATGCAAATTGCAAAATTATCCCAATTAAAAATGGGGTGTTTGGAAAATGGCATTTCATCAAAAAATGACGGTTTAATCCCCTTTAGAGTTTTCAATAAGTAAAATGTTGTTTGGTAAATAGCGGTTGGGCCTATGTTTTTTTTGGACGGCCCACTGAAATGGTAACAATGCAAATAGAGTTTTGAGTTTTGAAATATGAGGTTTTCTATTAATTGTTATGGTCAAACAATTAAATTATCAAACATTTTCTGCAAATCCGTCAATTTATTCCGCTAACTAATTCACCTCGTTAAATCCACTATTAAAAACTCGCTAATATTCCCTCCGTCCCACTGAGAAGTTTCCACTTTCCTTTTTAGTAGTCCCAAAAAGAAGTTCTCATTTACTTAAATGAGGAGTTATCTACGTCAAAACAGTACCAAATAATGTTATAATAGTAAAATTTATCTCCCTAATAAATTTATCATTAATACGTGTAAGTCAAAATCCGGAACTTCTTAGCTTGGCTTAACTTTTTAGCCTAAATGCCAAAGGAAGTAACGAACCCTGATAAAATTATATTTTCGACGACAAATCAAGACTCTTGATTGTCATAAAAAAAAATCTCGTCTTTGGATTACGAAGGTTCACTGCAAATTTGATCTCTTCAAGTGGAGAGAAGTCTCAAATATCGAACCACAGTAGGTCAGTAGCAAGTGATCGACATTCTGTTCTTACAGTTCTGAAGCCATGGATCAACCGAAGATGATGCGGAGAGGTAGGGCGGCAGTAGTAGTTCTTGGGGATATCGGCCGCAGTCCCCGGATGCAATATCACGCTCTTTCTCTAGCTCGCCAGGTTCGTATACTGCATATAAATTTCGAATTCAATAAAAGGAAGTGGAAATCATATGACCTGTTCGCAATGAGCATTGGTTCCAGCCATGAGATGCATATGGGTGTATGCTTCCACAGATTTTTCAACTCGGGATGAAAAGAACATTTAACTGATGAGCCGATTGCTTTTAAATTGTTGAGCAGTTTTATTGTGAACTTTGGGTCTGGGCAGATTATGTAATCTCATGTAAGATCAGTAATTGGGGTGGGGGGTGGGGGGCATGCTTGGCTCTATATAAACAAAACATCTCTCCAAGATTGCTTTAAAGTTTTGGCCTTTTAAGTACTACAATCCCTGCAATTTTTGTGTTTTCTTTCAGGCGCATCTAGAGGTGGATATTGTTGCATATGGAGGTTTGTCATTTGTAACGAATTCTTCTAAGACTTACAGAAATGCACACCCACACACATTTAAGGGAACCATTTAAGAAGTAGTACTTCAATGGGGTTTAAGAAGCTCAGAATCTTTTATCAAAAGGAGTTTTTTCCTAAACTGCATTTTAGAATTTTTTTTAAAATCATTTCATCAGCATGCTATGTGAAATAGTTTCTGATTATCTGATGGAAAATGATTATATAAGGTTTGGGAAAACAGATTAATCTTGTAATATTGCATTTTATTAACATATATATTGGCAAAATCCGTTAGTTGGACTGATAAGCAACATAGTTCCTGTAAATAGCATCTTCATTGTGTTTTTTTTTTGGAAAATGACTCAATCACTTCTAGAAGAAGAAGAATTAACTATTCTTCATCTCTATGATTGAACAAGTAATATTTTTAGCACAAAGCAAGTGCACTCCTTTGAGACTGAATGAGGCCTATCTTTAAATAAGGTCTTTCAGGAGAAAGAAGATTTTTCTTAGAAAAAATAGGTTGCCATTTCATTCTCATCTTCCGGTACCGCGTGAATCAAAACTGGAAACAATTCTCAGGTCATTTCGATTCACCTGCTTCTAATCCATGATATCACCTTTTTGAGCAGGTTCTGACCCCCATTCTGCTGTTTTAGAGCATCCCTCTATTCACATTCATAGAATGGTATTGTTGCCCGATTTCCTTTTTAGAATACTCCACATGAATTCTAGATGATTAAAACACACTAGTGAGTTGTATTTTTCCTTATGGACCTTTTTTGGCATCATATAGACACAGTGGCCATCAACCCCTCAAACATTATCCAAGATGCTACGTCCTTTTATGCTCATGCTCAAGCCATTGGTTCAGTTTGTGATGCTTTTGTGGTATCTCTGTGTCAAAATTCCTGCTCCTGATGTATTCATAGTGCAGGTGAGTTGTGAGGCTTTTACCTGCTACAACAGTACAGCCTATCAGCAGCCAAATAAGTTTTTTTTAACATATAAAACAAAGATATTGGATTTGTTCATTTCTATCATATATTACTATAGCAAGACATCTTTTTTTTGTTTTTATTTTAAGTTATGTAATTATATTACTTAGCGCTTTTAGGGTTTAATGCACCAAACCCCCTCGTTATATAGAAATTTGGTGCATTACCCCCTTGTGTTATGATATATCACAAGGGGGTTTGGCGCATTAAACCTTTAATACTATGATATAGTCTGTAGTTTCATCTTAATTTTACACTTTTACAGAATCCTCCATCTGTTCCTACATTGGTTGCTGTAAAATGGGCAAGCTGGTTGAGGCATTCTGCCTTTGTAATAGATTGGCATAATTTTGGATACACCCTCCTTGCATTGTCTCTTGGCAGAAATAGCCGATTTGTCACACTTTATAATTGGTAGATGTTTTCTTTCACATCTATAGTTCATCAAACCTTTCATGGATATTTATCTATCATAATTCTATTTACGTATGCGTAGGATTGAAAAGCACTATGGGAGGATGGCAAACGGGTCGTTGTGTGTTACAAAGGCAATGCAACATGAATTGGCACAAAACTGGAGTATAAAGTAGGGGCAGAATATCGAAATTTTCTTAACATCATTTCAGTTATTCATATCCACTGGGTATATGGTGTTAATACTGTTTTCAACAAACTTAGTGCCACTGTTCTGTATGATCAGTCTCCTGAATTCTTTCGACCTGCATCCCTTGAGGAGAAACACAAGGTGACTCAACTTTTACATGTGAAAATGGCCTTCAATAAATGCTTTGGCTTGAAACCTTAACTCTGGCGTGGGCTGAAGTTGTTTTGTAGGATTAATAAAAGCCTAAGAGAGCCATATGGCTGCCAAGATTGTCTGAGCTATGGTAATGTATTTTATTTCCATACTTGGTCTGGTAATATTGTAATATCACATTTAGATATGTTTTTGTACTGAAGATTGAGTATCTGCTGGAATATTGAGGACAGACAATGTTGACTCAGATATAACTCCTTTTACAACTCAGACCGGAAAGGATATATACTTGAAGCAAAACAGACCTGCTGTCATTGTCAGCAGTACAAGCTGGTTAGTACTTTTCAAAAAATACTGTTTTTCAATTTTTGTTAGCATGTGTTTACTGTTAATGATGAGATTATTCAGATTCTAGTTATAGATATGCCTGTTTTCAGGACCCCAGATGAGGATTTTGAAATCCTATTAGAAGCAGCTGTCATGTATGATAGACGAGTTGCTGCAATTTTGAATGAGGATGACTCGCATGGAAAGGAGCTTGTTTGGCATGAAATTATGCATGGGAAACAATTTTTGTTCCCAAGGTTGTTATTCATAATTACCGGTAACCACTGCTTGTCTGTGAAGATTCTTTTTTATGTCTGCTTGTGTGGAAAGTTTGCAACCTTACAAAGTTTGTGATGTTTTACATGAGTGAAGGAAAAGGACCTGAAAAGGAAAAATATGAGCAAAAGATCAGAAAACTGAATCTCAAGCGTGTAGCATTCCGTACAATGTGGCTTCCAGCAGAGGAATATCCATTGCTTCTTGGTATGTACTTCGTATATTTTATTAGCTTTGTGATGATGATTATGATGATGGTAATAATAATAATAACAACAACAACAACAATAATAATAATTAGAAGAAGAGATAATTCCAAATATATAACCAAAATAAGAATAGTGGACAAAAACGTGACCTAGTAACTTTTAGTGACTATAATTGTGTTCAAGTTTTATTGTTTGACATCATAGTGGCTATAAAAGTTACCTATAGTAACTTATAGTCATTTTTTGTCCATAGATATTTCATTAGTAATATTTTAGGAAGAACCTCTGATAACAACAACAACATCAATGATAATAATAATAATAACAATAATAATAATATCATTTATATCTACATCCTTGGTCTTACATTGGATGGTGGACAGGATCAGCTGATCTTGGTGTTTGCCTTCACACTTCTTCCTCGGGTTTGGATCTTCCAATGAAGGTGTTTTACTTTTTTTTCCCCGAATTCATATCTAACTGCAATGTTGTTTATGCATGAAATGGTCTCATTCTCAAATGTTCAAATTTAGGTTGTCGATATGTTTGGGTGTGGATTGCCAGTATGTGCAGTTTCCTACTCTTGGTATGCAGCTAGGGTCTTCCCCCATCTAAAAACACTTTAATCTCATCTTGCACTTGCACTTGCACTTGCATTTGATCCTTGTAAATGTTTACTTACAAGTTACAACTTTGAACAGTATTATGGAGCTTGTAAAAGTGGAGCAGAATGGGTTGCTTTTCTCGTCATCATCTGAACTAGCAGACGAACTTATGGTGAGTTTTTCATTTGTGTTTGGATGATTGTTTGTTGTTGCATCTTGGACTCCTGGCTATATTTGAGTCAATTATTATGAGCTTAGGCTATATTTAGACACAGTGATCTACCTTATAATTACTACCCTATCCCATTTTATATGTCTCAGTAACTATATATGTTGTAAATACAACTCTCTTAAATAGAGTTTCTTTTAATATTTATGTTCTATATCATTTGATCTGAAATCCCACTTTTATCTGTGGACAGAGGGGGATATTTATTAGCGTGCCCAGTTGACTTGGCATGCTTATTAAGAAGGTGAAAGTAGGTTTTGGTTGATGTAAAAAGACGAGAAACAATATCAACTACACAAATAATTCCCTAAAAAGAAATGTCAAGGAATTGTGACATTTCAACAATGAAAGTGGAAAGATAATATTGGGGCGGAGGGAGTTGTTTTTCTTAGGAAACTTCTCAAACTTTGTAGCTTTATTTTGTTGCTGAACTTTTTTTATACGCTTGAGCTTTATTTAGTAAGCTTCTTAGAATAGTTTCTCAAATAAGTTAATTCTCTTTGTTTATAGTTCCTAAGCAAAAGCGTTACGAAACAATATAGCTTTCTTTGATCGATCACTTTGTAAATTATAAGCAAAAGTTTTAAACTAGTAGTTATCTTAACAACTAACTGTGAGCTACCAGATAGGTTATAAGCCTGTATTGTAAAACATAGCCTTGTCAATTTTGAGATATGTCGATTTTGGAAAGCTTTTAAACCAAACCATCCTTATAGTTAAAGCTCTTTCATTCATTAGAGATATTAAAGTTCTTCTAGAATGTGACAAATGGACTAATAAGAGGAAGCAGTGATATATTGAGGCGGTCCCTCTGTAATAGAAAAGGTACTTATACTCCAAGATGATTGTTTTTTGGGTAGTTGACAAGCTACTTGATATCATTCTGGACGGTCTGTGTACCAACTCAACTCCATATCTGATATTACATGAGACATTGTTGAAACATTGTTGAAGTAATTAAATGGTGATTCTGTGTTGTTTCCCAGATGCTATTCAAGGGCTTCCCAGAGAAATGCAACTTGTTGAAATCCTTGAGGAAGGGGGTACTAGAAACAAGATGCTGTGCAAAATGGGATTCAGGATGGGAAGAGAATGCCAAGCCTTTAATAACCCAGGAAAGTCCCTTTGTAACTATTTATTGGTCGCATGAATACGTTTTTAGTTCCTCCAAATATATCATATTTTGTTGTAGATCCCAACTTATGTTTTTTTTGTTTACATAATCTAATATTAAACATCCTTTGGAAGGACTTAGAAACATATTTATGCCATATTTATATATTGGACATCTCAACTATTATAAAATTCAACTTCTCTTGGTATCTGAACTGTATTAATAGGCGATGCAGGTCATCTCTCAGTGTGTTGGCTGAAATTCGGGAGGATGAGATGGATAACCTTATGCGCAAGTTCGGAACATCAGATTATATGGGATAGTGCAAAACATGTTGTTACATACCAAGAGTATGTTTTGGTGCTTTGCTAAACATCTATTCAAGTTATTTATTACAAATTTTGTAGTCCAAAGTCGAAACATATCATTGTTAAGATAAAACATGCTGAAATTCAAAATATCATCAAGGTTCAGTATGAAGTAATTCTTTATAAGCACAAGGAAAAAATACACATTCATTACAGTTGACAAAATAAGTATTGTTTTTGTAAATGTTGAAATAACCCAACTCCCAATTGGTAAAAATGAATTTATTTGGCATTTACATTGGCATTGATTTAATATGAAATCAATGGAGAATACAATGAAATAACTATTTAAGCCAATGTACTTACTACAATGGTTAAAGCTCTTTCATTCATTAGAGATATTAAAGTTCTATCAAATCTCATAATTGGAACAAAAAAAAATAGTTATTAATTACAATTAAAAATTGCAAATCAGCTATTCATATATGAATGGAATCAATGGAGAATACAATGCAAATTATCGACCTTCCAAATTTACAACAATGCCAATGGTCAAATTTAGAGAATATAAGGATGTTTTTATATGGATTGAAATTTTCAAATTTGATCTGCTCTGGTATGTTTAAGTCTGATTTGATTTAAACTAGATTGGTCTGATTTGATTGTTAAAAGTCTGATTTGGACATTTGGTATATTTAAGTCTGATATGGTTTGTTTAATAAGATTGAAATAAGTCTAAAAACATCCTAAGTTGTTCTTGCTCTACCTAAAGCATACTAACTATTTTTTAAATGGTCCTTGAATATATATGTTCATATGGTGTTCGTTTCGTAACATTAAAATTTGTTGAATCGAATGATTCTGCATAAATCTATGAAGTTCCGGTTGAAATGGCTGAATTGTTGATTTTACCGATTTATTGAAAACTTATATTTACAATATTGTAGAATATTTTATTTATAAAATAAAAAAAAAAAATTATATGAAAAATAACTAACTACAATAATTTTAGCCAATTTATCCAGAAAAGTAATTTCAACCTTACTGATTTTAATTATTACACAATTTAGCGTGCGAAATTAGATTTTATGTATTTGGTGAAATGATTGATAAGTCGAAAACAGGGTACCAAAAGAGCTCATAAATTGAAATAGGCCTAATATGAGATCATTGCAAATAACTCAACTAGTGATTTAAGATGATATACTACGTATAATGGAATAAAGAATCAAAATTGAATATTAATCTGAAATCACATGCATATTGGACATTAAAAAGCCAAATGATGAGCTATATGTGAGATTCTTCGTGCATAATCTGTGCAAAAGAAAATCAATCTGAAGGAGATGTTAAAAAATACTCCCTCCGTCCCGCTAAGATTGTCTCATTTTACCTTTTCGGGAAGTCCCACTAAGATTGTCTCATACCAAATTTGGTAAAGATTGTGTGGCTCTAAATCATTCTTACTTTATTCTTACTTTATCAATTTAATACTAACCACACAAACCCACTTTTCTTAATAATCGTGCCACCTTTTTCCGTCCCAATCTTAGTGGGACGGAGGTAGTAAGTTATAGCCATTACAACAGTATGTGTTATATTTTTTTTGTGAAAGTAGGTTATGTGTTTTGATTCAGTTATTGATGGAGGGGTCCGACGCTAAACGCCGTCAGAAATAACGGGAGGAAGACGATGAACAATAACTTCGATTTTCAAATGTAAAAGAAAAATATTAGGAATGTACCTCATCATGGTAACCTCCATGCTATCTTTCTTTTTTATTTCCAGCCACCATTGTCACCGGAAAGTCCATAAAAAAGGTGATATTATTGAATTCTTTTTTTAAAAAAAATCCAATAGAAATTGAAAAAAATCAAAAACAAAGATGTTTTGGAGATCGCCTTGGTGATGCACACCTCCCAATATTATTCTTTTAATTTTTACAGACACTTTTGAAAATTGAAACTGTTGCTCATCAACTTCTTTCGACGATTTCTAACGATTTGAGATGCTGGACCCCGCCAATGATAATGGAATCAAAGCATATGACCTACTTTGATCAGAAATACGGAGTATACTTTTTTTGTGAACCCAAATCCAATCTGTAAAATCGTATGAAACAGAAATATCAGCTAAATTTCTTTTGGTTGCAACATGCCAACATTTACAATGGTTTCATTTTACAGAAATTGTTCAATTTTTTTTGGGATAAGTTCTAAAATGAGAGTAAGTGTTAAATGTCCCACACCGGAAACATTTGGATGAACAAAGTGATATATTAACACGCGGACTACTCCTCCTATCTGGTTGACCTTTTAGAATGGAACCCCGCGTCTTAACATGGTATTAGAGCCAAATCGATCCATGGTGTGGGGACCCTTATGAATCGTGATGACACGATTATAAAAAAATGACAATTATGGTCAGATGAAAAATGGATTGATGAAAAAAAATGAATGATTACACAATCCAGACGAAGTGTCTGGTCATGAGGAGGGGTGTTAAATGTCCCACACCGGAAACATTTGGATGAACAAAGTGCTATATTAACACACGAGCTACTCCTATCAGGTTGACCTTTTAGAATGAATCTCGTATCTCCCCCATTAAAAGACTAACCTGGTCGTATCTCAACAGCAAGTACATATATCTCCCCCCATTAAAAGACTAACCTGGTCGTATCTCAACAGCAAGTACATATATCTCCCCCCATTAAAAGACTAACCTGGTCTTATATACGGAGTATTTAAATAATTAAAAATAAAAAATTCCTAAACAAGGGGTTTACATTCACGTTCTTATTCGTTAAAGGTTTATGTGTCTAATCTGTAATACTCCGGGGTATAAAAAAGGGTTTACATTCACGTTCTTATTCGTTAAAGGTTTATGTCTCTAATCTGTAATACTCCGGGGTATAAAAAATATTTTGGCAAAACATTATTGAACCATTGGTATGATTAAAAGTAATAATGTTTGGAATAGTCGAGTGTTACTCCGGAGTATGAGATAACAATCAGGCTTGAGGTACACATTTTTGTACACACACTTACACACTCGTGTCTGTGAAGTGTTTGGTTTTGTCTGTATACAGACACAACTTATTTCACAGACACTTCAAATGTGTTGTGTCTGTATACAGACAACAAAAAACACTTCACAGACACGAGTGTGTAAGTGTGTACAAAAAATGTGTAACTTAAAATAACAATTCCGTTACTTCCTTACGTACTAGGCTACTTACACGGTGTTACTATACCAGATCGCGCCAGGGGCGGAGCCAAGGCACTGGGCCGTACTGGACCGGTACAAGGAATATTTTTGAAATTTTTTTTACACATAATTTTTTACACTAGAAATACAAGCATTTTTAAAATTTGGGCTAGGCCAGGGCCAGGGATGGCCCTCCCCTAGCTCCGCCCATGGATCGCGCGATCTGCTTCCGTTATTTCCTTACGTACTAGGCTACTAGCAAATTGAGGTTATAAACATGATTCTTTTATGTTAGACAACAATTCTTAACATAATTTAAGTTATAACTATTTATTGATAAAATTTAGAAAAACATGAAAAGTTTAAAAGAATTGTTATTTGCAATTATTATTTTTTAATACGTACTATGTAGTCAACAATAATGGTCTAAGTAGTCGGTACATAATAATACCATCAATGACAATACCAGTTAAAGCTATAACTTAAATTTACAAATTACAATAGTTGTAATTTTGTATCTATCATACTGAAAGTACAACGTGCTATGCAAACAATAAAAAAATTATGTCCTTAAAAGTCATTTTATAAATTTTTTTTCAACCAAACACTATTTTACAAACTACTAATACTATCAGCTCATCAAAACAGTCAACTAAACCAGCTGTCATCTATAAGCTAACAGAAACTACTATCAGCCAACCGTCAACAGGAATTCCCAAACACCCCATAGTCCTGTTGTGAAATATATAAACGAGTCTTATTTAGGACAATTTATATTCAAATAAATAGTACTACCTCTAGACTCTAACCAGAATATTCTTTCTATATCTAAAAGTGTCAATCACACAAACCATTTCTTAATAACGTAATGAGAAGACAAATGTGGATGATCCTGAAATGCTAAGTTAAGTGAGATCGGAAGAACATTATACGGAGTATATGACTAATGGAGTAAAAACTACTAACTATAAGCTGACTCCATTTAAATGAACAAATATCTGAGGGCACAAACTAATAAACTAAACAATGTTTTCCATTTGGAGTAAGAGAATATATTTATGTGAATTCATTAGTTTGGACTTTTAGAGTTTTAGTATACTAACTGACAAGTGAGCAAATTAAAACTCATACGCTTTTAATTTGATCGAATAATGACTGGTGGGTAGAGGACTAGAGGGTGGCTTGACTGCTCCTCTTTAATATCCCACCATGTACCAATTCCAATGAATTTATGTACTACGTACTAAGTTATACGTACTTGTTGTGTGGTTCGATCTGCTTCATGAGTGCAATGTCCTCAATCAGGAATCCTATTTTAATTAATCCCTATTCAAGTACGTTACGTTTAAGCTTATATATCGATGGATCACGTACTTAATTGTGGCATCCTTTAGGGTCTGTTTGCAACAGCTTCTGCTTTTAAAAAAGTACTTTTTTAATGAAATGAGAAGAAGTGATTAAATAAAAGTTGATAGTGTTTGAGAAAAAAGTGATTTTGAAAAGTAAAAGTGGGTAGTATTTGGTAAAATAAGTGCTTTTTGTGTAATAAAAAAAAATAAAAGCACTTTTGACGCGTAAGCCGAGAAAAATAAAAGTTGTAGTGTTTGGGAAAATAAATGCTTTTTTAAAGCCAAAAGCTGAGAAGTGCTTTTTTAAAAGCAGTTGCAAACCAACCCTTAGTATCATAAGAAGAAGATTGATGGATCAAATTTGTGGTTTTTGTGACGCCAGGTCAGAGTTTCAAACGTGAGTTCCTATATGGTACATCCGGCTATACGGTGAGCACCATACAGCCGTCCGGCCCGGCCCACTAATAGGCCCAAGAGAAAAATAGCAAAAAAATTCGGTGGCATTTTTGTAATTAATGTAAAAAACGCGGTTTCTGCTAAATGAGCAAGTATACTGCTAATGAGCAATAATCCAATTTTAATGAGTATTAAGTACGTGTCTAAGAATGAGCACCGTGTTATTACAAGAAAGCTGATATCACAACTAAAAAATGGTGACATTTTCGTAATTTAAGTGAAATCGCAGTTTTCGTTATATGAGCATTAATACACTTTTAATGAACGTCAGACGTATTCTATTGAGCATTAAGAGTCAAATAATGAGTATTGTGATATCAACTTCATATATTATAATTCACTTTCTTTTTCTTATTTTTTCCTTTATAAAATCTCATTTAATTCTATCTATAATCAATTCCTATGAATTTCAATATGTGAATCTCATGTAATATGGTACTTTTGAAATATGCATTGTTATGACATTTTAAAAATGAGCATAACATGAGTACTAATGAACTTACAAAATGAGCATAAATATGAAAATCATAAGGTTTGTTAGTTGGACGTGACGACATTTTCATTGAGCATCAAACCTCCTACATTAAGATAAAAACAGCGCTTTCTGTTAAATGAGCATTAATGAACTTTTAATTAGCACTAGACCTATCATATTGAGTATTAGGAGTTTAATATTGGGCATCGTAATCTTTGCTTCATATCCTCTAATTTACTTTCTTTTCAATTTTTTCTATTATAGAAACTTTTTAATTTTTATCTACTCCGGTATACAAAGAAAATAAAAAGACGAAATAAGTAAAAGTCAAACTAAAGAGCAGGAAGAGTCGTAACTCGTAATCGAAGAGCAGGTCATGCGCCGGAAAAAGAAAAGCATCAGGAACAACAAACCTAACCAATACCCTGTAAAGTGAAACTAATTACAAAAATGATGGGTTGTACGTACCATGAGCATGGTACAGCCAGCTGTACCATCTAATTTGCCTTCAAACGTCATGTGCAATCTTTTTGGACTAGAAAACTGAAAAGCTCATGTGTCGTGATTAAATGTGGTTATGGTCCCAGAATGGTCCCAGTTGGGATTAGGGCACCCAGTTTTCGAACTGTGATCGGTACAAGAATATAAAGTTCCAGACCGGGACCCAATGGATAGGAAAAGAAGTTCCTGTCTGGCTATCCAAGCCTCCATTTTTTTAGAATGGGACCAGTCTGCTATGGTACCAGGTTGGTCCCAATTTTTCTGTTTTTACATGAAACCATTGGAATCATTTTATTATGGTTAATTAAGGTCTATTCAAAAGCTTTAAGGGTTGAGTTTGAAGAGGGGAGCTGGGAGGGACAGAGGGTTTAAAGGTAAATTAAATAAAAAGGATTGAACCGGGGTCGGTTGGGAGGATGGGATTGGCTTAGAGGTCCCGATTCTGGTTCTGGACCTCAATATTTTTTTCCCAAAAACAGAGGCCTGGACAGCCGGACAAGGACCTCTTTTCCCATCGATTGGTCCAGATCTGGGACATTATTTTCTGGTCCCGGTCACAATTCGAAAAAGTAGGGGTCCTAATCCCAACGGGACCATATCCACCTCTAAAAGCTTTTCTAATCACTGGAGCACCCATAGACGATGCATACACATCCAAATAATTTATATTATGGTCTAAAAGTTAATTTGAAATGCATACAGATCATTTAATTCAAATGTTAATACAATGTGCTTGACTTCACCGATTTTTAATTATTTTTTCTTACTCACTTCTAACTTTATGTCTATAATTTTTGTTCTTCTTTTTTACGGTTTTGAACTGAAGGTCAGGGAAAAGGAGTTGAAGGAGCCTGAGGTAAATAGAGCTTAAACTTGATTCATGAAGTTCTGAACCCGAGACCTTCCGGCTCCCGCATGGTAGAGTGAGTTGACGATCAATTGAACTGGATCGCTTCGTCAAAAGTGCTTAAGATTATTTGAAAGGTGCCGAAATCAATGTATGTGTACATACACTAGGTGTCTGTATACAAACAGAAGTGTCTGTACGTGCACATGTATTTTTGTCTGTGCGCAGACATGTTTACATACAAATTTTGTTCACACATAAAATTTTTGTTCACGTAGATAAAGTTTGTCCAAAAGTGTCTGTACCTATACTTTTTGCCTATGTCAAGAGTAAATAAATAGAATGTAATATGAAGTGTAACCGAGAATGTACAAATAGAATTTTTCGAATTTAAAAGCGTGCACAACAAATGTACAATTTTATACCAATGATGCTTGATGTACTCACTCTTATACCCACCATGTTTGTGAAGTGTTTTTTTTTCTGTGAACCCGGTTAACAGACAATATTTTGTTTGTGCAAAATATTATCTGGTGAACCGGGATTCACAGACAAAAAAACACTTCACAAACATAGGTGGGTACAAAAGTGGGTATAAGAGTGGTACAAACATCATTTTTGATTTTATACACATTAAATATTGTTGTAGAAGTGTAGAACAATTCTTGAAGAGGCAATAAGCCATTACGGCACTGAAATACTGAAATGAGTAAGGTTTGGTCGGTGGGATCTCTTCTGAGTAATGCCCCGATAGGACACTAACAGCACGTATGGTTGTGTCATGTGAGGCATGTGGTGACGAGGGTCTATAATTGAATCAATTGGACTTGGGTACACACAACTCATACACACACCTACACAATATAAATAGGCCCAAAAATTACCATTGTTTTTACCCCTCCCTCACGTGCGCATACATCCCCTCCACACCTCCCCTCTATTCTCGCAGCTCCCTCCCTCCCGCGTCGTTTTTTTCTTTCGCGCAGCAGAGGTGTCGACGAGAAGAAGCTTAAAAAAATGGATTTTTCTGGCTTTGAGAATGAGAATATCATTGATACTACGGTGGATGATTTTTGGGCTGAATTGGCTGAAACAACCGGTGGTTCTCGAGGTGAAGGAGATATTCCGGCGGCGGCAGAAGTTGAGCGAGAACCGGCGGCGGCAGAAGTTGAGCGAGAACCAGCGGCGGCCGCGGCTGACCTTGACGGAGAACCGGAGGCGACGGCTGACCTTGACGGAGAACCGGCCATGGACGACGTCCCTGAGCATGGTATGAGTTTGTGTTGTTGGTTTCATTGGTTTTGAACTTAAATATATGTTTGTTCTTCACGGACAATTATTTGTGTTTGTGTAGTGTATATAAATTGTCTGTGAGTAAATATACTTATGTCTGTGCGTAAAGTGTATATAAATTGTCTGTGTTCAAAATGTTATAATTTTCATTATGTCTGTGTACATTGAGTTTAAATGTCTGTGTCCATATATACTTTTGTCTGTGAGTAAATATACTTATGTCTGTGCGTAAATATATCACGGCCTCTGCGTAATTACACTTCTGTTTGTAATGTCTGTGTGTCAATATTCTTCTGTTTGCAATGTCTGTGTGTCGATATTCCTCTGTCTGTGTTTATATATACTTCTGTCTGTGCATAAATATACCTTTGCCTGTGTGCATAAAAATATACTTCCCTCATTGCATGTTGACATGGACACATTGTTTATTCGTTGAATTACGTTAATGTCGATCTTAGATGGAGAAATTCGGCAAAATGAGAGTGATGATGGATCTATAAAAGCTTCGGATGTCAGTATGGAATTTGATAGCAAAGAAGCGGTGTATGATTTGTACAAGGCATATGGGAAGCACAAACACAAAAATTAGGAGTAATTAGGAGTACCACGAAACACAAAAATGGAGTAGATATAGATGCAAGCTCAAAGCCCCGGATTTTTCTATGTCCTTGACTTAGATGACGAGTCTCGATTGCGTAATGTGTTTTGGGCCGATAGTCGATGTAGATATGCATACAAAGATTTTGGAGATGTCATAACCTTTGACACAACCTACCTCACGAATCGGTATGACATGCCTTTTGCACCATTTGTGGGTGTTAATCTACTTCTTGCATTGGAAATGGTATTTGAGAATATGACATTCATTATCAATTCTCAAGCTATGTTACAAGAATTGGATCGGACCAGGCTGGTCAATCCGGAACCCGGCAACCTCGAACCTAAACAAGTCTGGTTGACTGCCAACTCAAAAATACACTAAAACTTGCTTCTACCCGATAACCCGTTATGACCCGGAACCGCCAAAATCCGGAAAACCCGTGATAACATGAAAAACCCGACTGAAAATTTAGGGCCTGTTTACTAACAAAGAAATCTCTGTTAGTAAACAAGCCCTTAATTTTGGAGCAGCAGGAAGTCAAACTTATGTTAATTGTGGTAGAGAACACTACGATCGCATCTTATGAAGCCTAAATCTCAATCTCGAATATAATAGAGTTTTGAAGTGTTGTTTAGGGCTCGTTTATTTGGGGAGGGAGGGTTCTCAATCTTAACAAAGTAATTTTGTATAATTTAAAAATCTTAACAAAGTGACATGCTTATTGAATCATATTATTAAAACAATTCAAGTAATTTCAAAATTATAAAAAATATTCTTAAAGGGAGTTTTGCGTGTGAATATTTATAACAAAAATGAATTTGACACACTTTTTGCAAGTAAAGACTAAAGACCAGCTCTGATAAATAAGTGTATATATACTCACTCCCATAGTCCCTTGCGCCCATGCACAGGGGCGGAGACAAGGGGGTGGTCAGACGACCCTGCTGAAAGTTTGAAAGTATAGAGCCCTGAAATATTTTCGATTTGATATATTATGGCCCCTGTAACTCATTACGAGTAAAAAGTTATGACTTCTGCAAAATCAGCATTATCTAAACGTAAAACTAACAAAATTTGATGCATACTATACTATAGATTATTTTCCCAACTTTTGAAAATAGGGGATAATTCACTCAATATTTATGTGACACGACTCAGAAACTGAGTAAAAACAATCTATCTTATTGTTACGAGTGCCTATTTATCTAACTGCATATCAAATATTCAAATTGGACATTGTTTTAAAATGATCTAACATTTTCTTTCTGTATATAGGTTGAGTTTTGACCGATAAGCCCTTTTTCGGGCTCCGCGCCCATGCACATTGAGAAAGTAAGTCTACCCAGGAGGGAATGTATTATTGATGCCGACATAAAGACATAAAGTGTGATCAGCTAAGCAACCATGGTTGTCACGGCGTCGTCCAGGTGATGGGGACTGCTCGCCAGGTAAGCTCGCCTCGCCGGAAGATGACCAGTCGCGTTTGGCGTCGCCAAGGCGTCGTCCTTGCGTGAACTTGGCGATTTGTCGCCGCCTATTTTAGCCAAGTCGAGAAGTCGTACGCAGGCCCAGAGTAGATTAAGGATTTAGCTTAAGGTTTACTTTTTGGGAATTTTTCGCAAGCAGACCAAAAATTGAAAATAATATCAAAATTTTCAGCTTTTGAAACTTATTTCGAAATTAGACTAACTAAAAGTTTCTTTCACAAATAGACCTTTGTAAAACTCCGTATGAAAACACCTGGAGCGAACACTAGAACGCCTTCTCGTAACAAACAGTTTTGCTCTTTGTACACACTATTATACACACCCAAATACACACTATATAAACTCAAAAAAGTTACCCCTTCACCAAAAGAAAAATCACCGTCTCACCATCCGCCTCTCCTCCTCTCTTTATTCTTCCTGCATTATTTCCTTTTCTCATTCCCCTTTTCATTTGTCCCTCCTTTCCCAAATCCCTAATCTGAAATAGATCTTGCTCGTCCTCGCTTGTCTTCAATTTTGAGTCCAACAGGAGCGGCATGATTTTGGCTGGATTCGTCCTCTTCTCCAGTCTCCCCACCACTTTGTCGCGGTCGTTTTCCGGCGACACCACCACCGTAACGCACCGCCTCCACACCTCCCCATCCCTATACCCAAGTACCCAGTCAATTGGTAAAGGATTTGAGAGTTGAATTAGAGACCACCCAGTAAAGGATAGTTGAATTCTTCAGGCTTTTCAAAAAAAGTTGAATTCTTCAAGCCTAAACCAGGTGTGTAATTACTTTAAGCTTTGAAATAAAATCACAACTTGATTTTCTGAAAATGGATATTTGTTTACTCATTATGATTTGAGTTCTTAAGATTTCAGCTGAATTGTAAGATCTCTAATAAGATTATATTTGTTGACTCTTATTTAATTTTTCAGGTTATTTGGATATAAAAAATTGCACGACCAAATTGTTCAGTTGCTATAAGTAATGCTTTTTAGTGTACCAACTTTTTGTAAGTTTCTTAAATTTATTTTGCACTTGAAATCTCTGTATCCTCTCTCAAAAAAAAAAAGATATGTTTGTTTATAAAGAAACTACATATATAGTGTGGCTAGGGAGGGAGTCTGATTACAGGGATCAACGGAACATGTACAAGGGTGATTGGACCAATTCAAAGAAGGGTTGAGAGGTAGTCTGATTATTCACTTTAATTTTTGCTTGTGTAAATTTCTTAAATTTATTTTGCACTTGAAATTTCAATTCCTCTCTGAAAACAAAACGAAGATATGTTTGCTTATAAAGAAAATACATATATATAGTATGTCTAGGGAGGGAGTCTGATTTTAGAGACCAACAGATCATGGACAAGGGTGATTGGACCAATACAAAAAGGGTTGTGAGGAAGTGTAATTATTCACTTTAATTTTTACTTGTGCTTTGGACAATGCTGAATTAGATACATTGTCCACCAAATAGGTGCACATGTGATCATCCAATAGGGCAATAAGCAGAACATGAAACTAGGGGTTGACATGCATCTCACAGCTATACAATTTATTGAGTATCCCTGCACATTCTTTATTAGGGCCTGTGGAAATTTAGTATTGCTAGTCTTTGTTAATGCCATCTCTGCAATATAATTGGAAGCTTTCAAGTTATACATGTGGATATGTGTGTGTACGTTTTTCCTTATGTTTGAATTTTAAAGAATTCCTTGCAAGCATTTTTTAATACATATTCCTCACAGGTATTGATGTCATTTTTTTAGAGCAAAAATGTTCTAACTCAGAAGAACCAAGAAGTTTGGGAAGCTTGAATTTGGGAACCAAGAAATTTGGGAAGAACCAATATAGAAGATGGAAATCTGGATTGCTCTCAAGAAATAAAAAACAATTTGTTCCATGCTGAATTAGAAACAGAGAGAAACCATGAAAATTGAGTGCTCAGTTAGGTAGCATAAATGTGAGAGTTAAGTTTACAGGATGAATCCATGTAACAAAAAACTGGATACCCATTTTGAATTATGTAACAATATTTGGATAAGGCTGTTAAACAAAAGTTGTATGTTTATGAGAAAAAATGTGTTTGTTGTGTATACCTTTTATTTCAATATTTACTTGTAGAAAAAATGTGTTTGTTTTGTAATTAGAGTTCTTTTTGTGTTCCAAAGTGTTTGTTTTGATGTATTAAGAAAATGGCTTCACATTTTTTCCAAGGAATTGAAGTTTTTGTTATTAATACATGTTGTAAGTTGATTGAAAAAATAAATTGTTATGTATCCTCATTTTGGTGAACTGTACATTAATTTAACCACCCACAAACAATATACACGAAAATGTGGATAATGCTTTGACTATGCATAGACAAAATAAATGCACATACAAACAGTCATTGACTATGCACAAAAAAATATTGTCAATGTGCTCGTTTATATTGTTTGTGTGTTGGTCTATATTGTCTATGCGTTCATTTATATTGTTTGTGCGTTTGTTTATATTGTCTACGTTTCGTTTATATTATTTGTGCATGGTTAAAATATTGCCTGTGTATTCGTTTATTTTGTTTGTGCGTTCGTTTATATTGTTTGTGGATGTATTATCTGTATATTCGTTTATTTTGTCTGTACATAGAAAATAATAGTTTCTGATCGTTTCTACTGTCTATGTGTGGTACATCGAGTATATCTACACTATATAAACTATATCTACACTATGATAGTTGTATGGGAACAAAAAAAATCAAGTATATTTGCCAAGGTGAATTTTTCTCAGACATATACAAATATTGTTCGTATAAACATTTTTTTTATTTGTGTCATATACAATTTATCTTACAAAAGATTATACACAAACAAAATTTGTAGTCTTATTGTTACACTTGAGTCTTGACAAAACTAACTTGTCTGTACACACATAGCTAAATGAATAATTCTAATATCATAAATCAAAATTAAGAACAAAAATAGAGCATGTTGAAATAAAGATTAAAGAACAAAGAAAGCTATAGGAGATATAAAATATTTTCTATTATCATACTTAGAAACTCCTTATTCTCATTTGTGCTGCTCCAATCTAATATACAAAAAGAACTCATCAGGTTATATGGGCAAACGTGATACTTCAGTGGGTTTCCTCTGGGGGAACTTTGGTCACATCCTTGCTGGATCTATTGTATTTCATATGACTCCTCTCAAGCTGACCAGATGCAATGCCACACATCAATGAGAGCCCCTCCATCAGGACCGCACCGGCAATGATGGCTGCGAGGACCCTTGCATTTGACCCCGGGAACTCTTTGTATGGCACCTTTCACCCTGAGTAGGTTCAGACACAATGATTGTGAAGCTAGATATGTGCCACCCCCACCGTTTTGACCTCAATGGAAGCATGGTGACAGAGATGTGGAAATCCTTCCCTTCATTCACAGCCTCCATCATAATAATTCAATGAGAACTTTCTATGTTCTGGAAAAAATAAATTTAATATCAATTAAATATAAAAGCACATTATAACACAAAACTAAGAATAAAAGAATGTTATCCATGATGGTATCGGTAGGTATTTTATATTCATGTTTCGAATATTCAACAAATATTCATTGCAACCTTTTCACAAACACTTCATGTGCAAGAAAATAGAATAGAATGCTTAAACTATAAAATCAATAACCAACATCACAAATTGAAAAATGAAAGCATGTAGGTAAATAAACAACTTCACAAACATAAAATTAAGCATACAAATAGAATTAAAAGCTAAAGAAAATCCATTAATTATTGCACTTCACATAAAAGATCTAAATCCCTAAATTCACAATAGAGAAATACAAGAGTTTTTTTACCATGAAATTTCTCTGGTGATACTCAGCCGTGCAGCAACAAGGTTTGGCTGGCAGAAAAGCAGTTATAGTAATTGCAAATTTCCAGAACAAAGCAACTTAATCAGTGATGATGATAAAGAAACCTAACCGGCGATGATGATAAAGCAACCTAACAGACAGAAGAAAGAAAATAAAAAGAATGAAAAGAAAAGAAGGAATGATGGTAAGGGAAAGAGGGAGACTGAGATTATACGGAAGGGGCAAGGGTTTAGAGGAGAGGAGAGAAGTAGTGGGAAGAGTCGAAGAGAACAGGGGAAGAGAAAGGGTAAAACAAAAAGGTAAAAATTCAGCCCTTTTATAGAGTGTACAAGGTGTGTACACATAGTGTGTACAAAGAGTATTGTTGCGTAACAAATGCACTGCTATACACGTTGCCACGTAATGTCTCAATCATGGCACCTTGACAAACTAACACAAATTTGGAATAACTTACCGTTTGTTACTCCGTATATGTATAAAAACGTACAAAGTTATACAATTGTAATAAAAGATGAAAACAATTATTGAATTATGTAAATATTAAAAGTGAAAAAAATAATAGAAAACATTTAAAACTGAATAATAATTCAAATTCAAAAAAAATCAAAAATTGAAAACTCGTAAGTTAAAAAAAATAAATTTAAAAGTTAATTCTGAAATAGAAATAGACATTCATAACTCGAAAATACAAATGTAAACATTTAAAGTAGTGAAAAATGTGGGGACGTTCCAAAAATGCAAAATACTTTCAAATAAAATTTTACAATAGTTAATTTCATTTATATAAAAATATAAAATTTCAAAAAATTAAAAATTTGAAAGTTTGATAAAATAAAAAACTAACCGAAAATTATAAAAAAAAAAAAAATATTAGTTAGAAAAATGTATCGAAATTTAAAAAGCTTTAAATTGAATTAAAATGACCTAATTAAAAATCAGAAAATTTAAGAAAACTAAACAAAGTGTGGATAAATTAATAAATACAAAACTCAAAAATGAAAAGGTATTTTAATAAAAATAGTTAAAACATTGTGAAAATGTTTGAAATATATAAAAACCATTACTTTTAGGAATTTTCCTTTTTAAAATAGTTAAAAAATTATTATCATTATATTATTATTATTTTTGTTGCATAGTGTTTTTTATTGTTTCTTTTTGTTTAATTTTAGAGAAAACTTTTGATATCTCGTTTTTATTATTTATTAATGTTCCATGTTGATTTCCATGGTGCACTTTTCATTAAAAGTACATGTAATTTTTTTTTGGATAAAAAAGTACAAGTAAATTAACTACCAAAATTGTAGTTTACAGAGGGGAGAATAAAGCCTAATTAAGCAAGAGTATAACAAGCCAATGCTTCATGCAATTGCAAATTGCGCTAAACTAATAAACAAGGCAGCCCCAAAGGAGCAAATAAGAACATCACGCACTCCGCAACCATTCATCCTCTGTCAGTCTGTCACCACCGCAAGCATAGTCTAACTTGCAGTCTGCCCAAGAGAAAACAACATCACGCACTCCGCAACCATTCATCCTCTGTCACCAAAGCAAAAGGCAAAAGGCAAACTAGTCAACAATTTGCATATGAATACCATACAAAACTCAAAAGGTAGGACTAGGTAGTCAGGAAAACAACCAACTCACCACCATAAAAACCAACAAGTGGTAGGATATAGTCTAAATAACACGTTGAACATCAAAAGTTTAATATGCAAAAGCACACTATCAATATACAATTACAATCACCTTATGAGCAAAAATAATCTCATTCCCTGCCTTTCAAATTCTGTAAACAATGCATAATGGAGATAGTCGAATGACCTCGCTCATTGTCCTTGCACCTCAGTATTGTTTAAGAGCGTTTTGACTTAATTGAACATTGTAGAAGTGTGCTTTTTAAGGCTCAGTCAATAACCTCTGTGACACTTGAATGGACTGTTTTTATTACTGAGTAATAAAAATAAGTAATACAGAGAATAGATAATAATAGTTGAAAAATGATTAACATGAATCAACATGGTGCAACAGAAAGAAACACTACACAACAAAATGCAACAAATTAAAAAATAACAAAAAGCAACAAAAAGAAACATAAATAAACATAATGCAACAAAAAGAAACATAAATAAACATAATGCAACAAAAAGAAACAAATTTAAAACAACAAAAAGCAACAAAAACAAACATGGCAAAAGAAAATAAAAAACAACAAATAATAATATCTGAAGAGTACATATTTAAAAAATAGAGAACAAAATAGAGAGATACATGCCATCTGCAGGCTATAAAATCGGCCACATTCATTAATATCTAGCACATCAAAATGAAGTTAACATAAACATCACAACACATATTCATAGTTTCACTGAATCTGATTAATAAGCTCAAACACAACACATATTCATTCAATTTTTTGATGGTTCTATGCAGCAAATCATATGCATGAGTGAACAAAACAAACAAGTAAACCTAGCCTAACCATGTCATCAAATGTCACGTGAAAGCTAGATATATTGATTACCTGCAGATCTGGTGAGTTTCAGGAAACCTGCACCTTGAAGCCATTGTTTCAATGTTAGGAATGATTTAGGTAGACCACAACTAGCTAGCCACCCTTGACTCACAATCTCCAAAACTACAACTTTCATTTTTTTAAAAAGGTTTTCAGGGGAAAATAGAGGTTTTCAGGGGAAAATAGAGGACACCAAGCTTCCTTGATCTCTTTATACGTACAAAGAAGAACCAAAATCAAAATGGTTATTTGTGAATTCCATCTCAACATCGGATCCAACTTGAGGAAAAAAACTGTGATAGTAAAAGCACACAAAAAAAGTCAAACACAAAATAGAAGATCACAAATAATGACCCTAAAAAATCGGTGACCATTACAAATAATTATACTGAGACATAGCAGCAATGACTCTTTCAAAACAAGATGTAGTAGTGTCATAGTGAGTAGTGACCAATGTTGCTAGAATACTCTTGTGTTGATATAGAAAACAATACACAACTCAATTCAATAGCATAACAAAGAGTAAACTGTAATAATCGAGGTGTAATAGTAATACTGTAATAGTAGTTCTAAAAATTATACAAATCAATAAAAATTAAGCAATTCAAGACTTTTAGGTTAAGCAATTTTAGAACTCAGATTATAAAAACAATACAAAACAACCAACTCTGGGCTTTGGAATTACATGTTTACAAATCGACGTATAATTTTGAGATTAACTTTGAAAAAAGTAGGTCAGAAACTTACAAGCTAAGGTTAGAAATTAGGCCGGATATGGAGATGCCAAACGAATTAAGGAGGGCTGGAGGAATTCATTCGTCTGCTAGGAGCGGAGCAGTGCGGCGATCTGACGAAGTTATCAAGCGAACGGCGAGTTGGCGCCGATGCTTCACAGAGGCCGGAGTCGGAGGATCGGAGAAAGGAGAGGAGAGTGAAGGTCGAACCATCGAAGTATAACGGAAGGAGAATCTGCTGCCTTCCAAGGTCTCTCTGGTATACGACTATACGAGTACTAATCTACATGGATGAGGCAATAGTCTAAAAGTGAAATAGATAAAAAATAATTGAAAAAAAAAAAGTTAAAAATGAAAAGGAAAAATGATCGGGACATAAATGATATACTACGTAGACAATACGAAAGTGGAACGTGCGGGTAATTTCCACTTACTTTTTTAAGGAAGCCCATTTAATTAAGAATTTAAGGCGGTGGCCTTCTAATTAAATACAAAGCCCGACGCAGAGAACAACTCACAGAGAAGCGACGAACCAACTTCAGAAGGCAGAAGAAGAAGTCGCCGGTCAAGCCAATCGCCATCACCCTGTCCACCGTTGAAGCTTGAAGCATACGATGAGACAGTCCAGTTGAGTCCACCGATTTCTTTTCTAGTCTTATCTTTTATTCTCTAGGGGTGTAGTGGATTTTTTTTTTTTAATATTTCTATTATTTAAGTGGTATATATAATTATATATGTATTCCAAATTTATCAATATATGCGTACAGTATTAATTATATAGATAAATTTTTTAATGGTAATTATATAGATACTATAAAAGTATAAAACAATTCATTTATTAAATACAGTGTAACATGGTGTAACATGGTGATTGTGAAACAAATTTTAAGTATTTACTTAAAATTGATCGCAAATAATAATATGTGAGAATATTGGGTACAATCTCTAAATATGAATCCTTTGATTCTTCACTTGCAATTTGATATAATTAAAGAATTTAATTAAAAATTAAATCTTTAATTCTTCAAAAACTTGAACGTTCTTCGGATCTTCGAATCTTCGTTCTTGAGATCTTCGAATCTTCGAACCTTCGTTCTTCGGATCTTCAAATCTTCTTGAATAAAGAATTCAGCTTGAAGGGCCTCCGGTTTTCAAGTGGCTTGATCTTCAACAAAAGGGCCGTTTTATGGCTTGATCTTCTGTTAAAGGGCCTCCCGGGATATATGGCTTGATCTTCAGTTGAATCTTGATTCAATCTTCATATGAATATCTTCAAATCTTCAAAGATTCGTTTTTCATATCTTCGAATCTTCAAAGCTTCGTTCTTCAGATCTTCGAATCTTCAAGCTTCGTTGTTCAGATCTTCGAACGTTCTTCAACTTTTGCTTTGTTTGATCAAGAATAGATGAAATCACAAAGGATTATTCATATATTCTTAAAAAAAACGTGGCTTGATCTCTTCCTCTTCTTCGGAATTGTTCAGAGCCTTTCGGGAGTTCTTCAGAGCTTTGTTGCAGCGTTTCTTCGTCTGAAAGTTCTCCTCCTTCTCTCTCAACTGAGACCCCTATTTATAGGTGTGGAGGGGGTGAAAATAGGGCTTAGGGTTGCTGAAATTCGTCCATATCATGTGGGCCTGAATTAAAATGGGCTTCGGGCTCTATTTGCTTGCATTTAATAGCTAGAAAAATCAGCACTTGTTCGATGTGTCTGGACAGCCTTTTTAACAAGGTTCGCGGCCGTTTTCTATGCATATAGATGGATTTCTTAACTAGATTCATTGCTCTCTTCATTAATTGGATCATAGCTCTTACATATTGGGCCGCTATTTGATAAAGGGCGCAAAATTAATAGGATCGGTCCATTCCTTTAAAGATTTAATTTATAATTAAATTAATTGGACATTTGAGCGATCCAAATTAATTTAATCACTAAATTATATTCGAATGAACCCATATTAATATTTCCCTCTTTTTTGTAGGCCCAATAACCATTCAAAGGATGCCCAATAAGAATTAATATAGTCCGGTAGCATTCAAAAGAGCTTAATGACCATCACAACTGGCCCAACAATTTTTATATGTCCACAACTGCCCCTCGAGACTTGCTTGAACGTTCTTTGACGAGAAAGTAATTCTCGAATATAAGTTGGGCCAAATCACATGTTGACTTAAGATGAGAAGTCAATTGAAGATATATTCTCCTCTTTAATTGAATAGGCTTGATAGCCCAAAACCTATTTAGCCAACAACCAATCAACCTGGAAACCTTTTTAAAGCTAACATATGTGGAGTATTATTTTGCAAAACATCAAAATAATTGTCATGCAATTGAAGCCAGCCTATCAATTCAATCCTCAAAATCATCTCACGGCATCAAATTGAGTAGTCATAGTTGAACTCTTCTACCCGCCGAATAAACGTATCCTTCATAGAACTAATCTCCGTATCTATTTCCACTGCTGCGTTTTATCCGGATCGCCTTTCCTTTCAAGAATTATAAATAGGAGATCAGATCAATTCTGCAACTGCAAAATAATTATCTAGAGATCCCAAGATTCACCAATTCCTTAGAGCAAGAGATCTCAAGGTAAATTTAGTTTTATTCTAATTCTTTATCTCTCTTTCTTCTTTGGCATATTGCAGGGGAGATTTCTGGAGACAAATATCAGCCACATATGGAATCAATCAACCGAGCTCGAAATTTGCCGGAAGGATGATGTCCGTTCGATGTTCAATAGAAGCCGTCATAGTTGTTTCAGTTTGAAGAAACTATCGCCCAGTTGCTGCTGCTACTCGTTCCCCAAGAAGGATTAGTCTGGTACGGAAGATGAGATGGTGACGCTGCCCATCCGAGCTCGTTAAAAGAAGATGGACCACCAAATTGCTGAATCTGCTATGGTGCTAAGAAGACAATGAAGGAGCCAGAATCCTGAAGAGGCATAATAGATCGTCTCTTAAAGCTCAGAAGGTGTTGACTGTTGACCATGCTGCTGTAGACTGTAGTTGGAGGATGAATTCGAGATTAAAATATTGCCGGCCATAGCCTTGTCAATGCAGCAGTTCAAAATCGATTCAAGGAGGCTAAAGCAGAGAGTGGGGGTCCTGTCCAGAAGCAAGTGATCAAATTTACACGCTAGTTGATACCATCAAAACTTTGAAGAAGCCATTGTCCTACTCGTTCCAACTTGCCGTTGCCACTTGTTAGCCGAGAAGAAGAATTTCAATTGAATATGGCGAGGAATATGAGGTGTCAGTCCCGATGCAGGTCGTTCAAAGAAGAGGACATTGAAGGAGTCAATCCATAGCAGGCTGCCCAAATAAGAAAACGTTGAAGGTGCCAGTTCCTAGCAGGTCGTTCAAAGAAGAGGACATCGAAGGAGCGAATCCATAGCAGGCTTCCCAAAGAGAAGAAGACAATGAAGGATTCCATTCCATCGAAGACCGTTCCAAAAAGAAGAAGACAATGAAGGATCCCATTTCATCGCAGGCCGTTCCAAAAGGATTCTAGTTTCATCACAGGCCATTCCAAAGAAGACAATGAAGGATTCCAGTTCCACCGCAGGCCGTTCAAGGACAAGGACAATGAAGGAGCCAGTTCTATTAAGTATCAACAAAGAAGGTTACCCTGATGATCCCTTGTTCGATTCTTGAGGGATTAAAGCCGATTGGTGGATTGTTGTTGCCTTTGTGCTTCCGTCAGGGGAATTAATCGTCCGTTCTGAGATTATTTATCATCTTTGAGCTGCCTCTTTTTTTTCATTATTATTATTATTATTACTGTTTTACTATGTTTTGTTTTAATAATAATAATAATAATGACCTCCCCCCTTTTATCCAAGATCAAACTTTATTGGGGTTTGTGTTGTTATAACTGAACTCAAAAATGAAACTTTTGAGCTGCCTACGTACTCCTATAAAGGAGATCAAGTCAAACGTAGTTCATAGTACCATTTGAATAGGTAATTTAAAGGGGCGGGGTGCCGTACACAGTTTTAACTCATGCGGGCCAGGAGCTTGCCGTGCACATTTTTAACTCTCGTGGGCCAAGAGTATCTATGATTATGCTCACCCATAGACAAAGTGGGATGTTTTAGCAGTTTAGCCACTTACAACATCATTGGTGGTTTAAGGCTTTCAACATTTTATTTGACATATCTATACCCCGACATCAAGGGTACTGGATTGTTAGAGTATGAACTCACATATTGGTCTTCATATTGACCACGGGTATGCACAATGGTCACTGGCTTGACTTTGAGTGCACTTCCATAGGTTACTTTAACACTGGTTTCTCGTTTCATACGAGATGGGATAAAACTTCTATACTCATTAAGACTTTGCTTTTCGAGAGGAACTTTAGTAGATGTATTGCGTTCATGGTTCAATCCCAATCGTTCATGAACAGACATTCTTTCGAAGTTTTGTCCCATGCATGGGTCTTCAGCGTGTTTCATCGTCATCGGGCTCATTCCAAGCCATTCTTGTAAAGTCTTCTTCATGATCTTCTTTGGCTTTGGCCCCATTCTGTCAAAGATGGTGGGTCTTGATCTTGCCCCCCCAATCCGATCAAAGACAGAATACTTCGGCTTAGAAGTCACTTCGTCTTCTTCATCAACACTAATATGATGCGTTGCGGCTCTATTTATAAGGATCCTTATGGGTTTCGGTTGATTATAACCCAATCCTGTGTGCCATCGAAGATTGATCTGCTTTGGTATCCCTTCACCACCAGCTTCCGGAATGAGTTTTCCCAACCTCTGTTCGTTGGGATTATCCTCAGCCTTGGCCAGAAGTTTGTATGCGTTTGGGTCAAATCCTTCATTTGTGCGTGCCTTAGGGAGATGAAATGTCTTAACATCATTCTCGTTTTTCACTTCCTTCTCGAACGTGTTTTGAGGAGGCCTTAATATCTCAATCTTTGGAAGAGGGAATGTAAGCCCTTCTACGCCTTCAACAAGCTTCCCTTTCAGCTTTGGTTCAATCAAGGGGCGATATTCTTCCACTTGTCTAGCATTCTCATCTTTAGAAACTTTGGCCTTTAGGTAAAACTTCGCATCTGCAAAGTATGTCTCGGTTTCTGTGAATGGAGTTTCATCGGCCGCTACCTTCTTTACAACACCATTTTGCTCATACATGAAGCATTGGTGCCATGTTGAAGGAATTACACCGTTCTCATGGATCCATGGGCGGCCCAGAAGAAGATTATATGAAGCCTTTGCGTCAATGACATGGCACAGAGTGCTTGCCTTCAGCTCGCCAATGACCAAATCAAGACGTATCATTCCAATTGCCCGTTGCCCCCCTTGATTGAAGCCTTGAATCATCAAGCGGCTTTGGGAGAGTTCATCCATTGATATATCAAGGTCTTTCATAGCTCGAACCGTCAAAATGTTAACGGCAGACCCTTGATCAATCATAATTCTTTTGAATCTTTGTCCACGAGTGTATCCTTCGACAAAGAGTGGACGATTATGAGGGGTTGCGCCCAACATGAGATCTTCATCTTTAAAGACAATATCAGTGGCATAAGAGGTTGATTTGCACGCTTTTGTTTCTTGTTGCTCAACCAAAGATTGAGATGCACATATGTGTGAACTTTCAATCTGTTTTTCATGAGTGCTAAGGCAAGAACTTGAAAATTGATTTATCTTGTTCTTGAAATTCTTTGGCATGTAATCATCTAGAGTAACTGGCCTTCGCACAATCTTGGAACAAACATCAATCTTTCTTTCCTTCTTTAGCTTGAGTTTATTTTCCTTCCTTTTCTTGATCCATTTCTTCACTTCCTTCACTAGGGACGAGATCAACTTGTGCCTCTTAATTTGTTTATCTCTAGCTACTAAGATCCATGGACCTTCTTTGCCATTATTTTCTTCATCTCTCACACTTTTGTTGAAAGGAGAGTCATTTCCCATCTGTTTGACAGTAAAAGGAAGTCTTCGATTGTGAGAGCTCTTGCTCTCTTCTTTTGAGTCATCTTTGACTATGAGTGGAGAAAACTTACCAAAAGTGATGGCAATTTGATTTGTGCTTGCAGCAGAATCAGCGAGCTCAATCTTTCCTTCACGAGCAAGAGCCATAACTTTATCTTTAAGCACCCAACACTTCTCGGTGGGGTGACTTAGAATTCGATGATACTTGCAGTAGTTGGGGTCATCAACCTTTGTAGCTTCCTCGGGTCGTTTGGACTCGGGCAAATCAATAAGCCTCAATCTCATCAGCTCCTCAAACATGGGAGGAACGTCAGAGTCTAAGAAAGGGTACTTCTTTTCCAACATCTCTTCTAGAAATGATTTAACACGTTTTGACGCCTCCAAGTCGACCCTAGGAACTTGCTTCGAATTTTGAGTGAAGATCTTAACAGGTGCAGTCTTCGCGACCATTGCTTCTTTCGTTTCAAACTTAGAAAAGGGCTTGCCCCCATTCTTGGTATCTTGTTTTTCAACAACATCGTTGATGGGACATATACCCATGGTTTTCCTTCTACTGCTTGCAATGCTTAGTTCCATGTTACGAGCTTTGCTTGCTAGCTCGTCAAAAGTATTTGGATTCACTCCTTTGAGAATGTAGCACAACTCCCAATGCATTCCTCCTATACACATATCGATGGCAGAGCTTGTAGAGATCTGATCTTTACAGCTGAGGGCGAGATCTCTCCAACGTTCTATGTAAGATATCACAGGCTCATCTTTCCATTGGCGAGTAGTAGTCAACTCGAGCAAACTCACCACCCTCCTTGTGCTATAGAAACGGTTTAAGAACTCATGTTCCATATCTTGCCAGTTGTCAATGGAACCGGGCTCCAGGTCAGTATACCAGTCGAAAGCGTTTGCTTTCAGGGAACGCACGAACTGCTTGACAAGATGATCTCCACTTGTTCCCGCATTATTGCAAGTTTCCACGAAATGGGCAACATGCTGCCTTGGATTTCCCTTCCCATCAAACTGAATGAACTTCGGCGGTTGGTAACCAATAGGCATCTTTAGATCCTCGATCCTTTGAGTGTATGGCTTAACATAGGAGTAAGTAGATTTGCTTCCTTCTATCTTCCCCTTTATGGTTCCCATAATGAAGTCTTTAAGTTGATCAATCGGGATCATGCCCCCAGAGGTTGAGATATCCTTCCCCGAATCTTCTTGGTGAGGATCATTCTCTTCATGCATTTCGGGATCCTTTTCATGAGTATGACTTGACTCACCTTTCAAGCTTTCTACTTTGTTGTTCAGATCATTCAACTTTTGGTCTTGAGATTGCATGAACATACTCATCCCCTCGATGACCTTAGTTAGATGGGCGATTTGTTCTTCCATAGATGTGGTGCTTGTCGTCATAGTGGGCATCACAGTGTAGACGTTTGACCACTGCGGAGTAGTTCTTCGTGGAGGAGTTGACGGGGGAGTAGAGTCTGATCCAGATGATGAGCTCTCACCACCACTTGTCCATTTTGGGGAAGTAACTTCACGTATGGGTGAAGAAAACTTCCGGGCCATCTCTTGTGCAATTTGAGATCCATCCATTGCACCGGGAGTAGTTCCCGAGGATGACTGCGCAACCAGGATTCTTGATCGGCTCCTAGTGATAGGGCCTTGCATGTTTTGATTTGAGCAAGACGATGCTAGAGAATTCAAAGTGAACACGGGCTTGCTTGATGCCATTGGTTCGTTTTCCCTTGATCAAAAGTGAAGAGATGAGAGGTAGAGTTGTCCCACCGGGCGTGCCAAAAATTTGTGAAACAAATTTTAAGTATTTACTTAAAATTGATCGCAAATAATAATATGTGAGAATATTGGGTACAATCTCTAAATATGAATCCTTTGATTCTTCACTTGCAATTTGATATAATTAAAGAATTTAATTAAAAATTAAATCTTTAATTCTTCAAAAACTTGAACGTTCTTCGGATCTTCGAATCTTCGTTCTTGAGATCTTCGAATCTTCGAACCTTCGTTCTTCGGATCTTCAAATCTTCTTGAATAAAGAATTCAGCTTGAAGGGCCTCCGGTTTTCAAGTGGCTTGATCTTCAACAAAAGGGCCGTTTTATGGCTTGATCTTCTGTTAAAGGGCCTCCCGGGATATATGGCTTGATCTTCAGTTGAATCTTGATTCAATCTTCATATGAATATCTTCAAATCTTCAAAGATTCGTTTTTCATATCTTCGAATCTTCAAAGCTTCGTTCTTCAGATCTTCGAATCTTCAAGCTTCGTTGTTCAGATCTTCGAACGTTCTTCAACTTTTGCTTTGTTTGATCAAGAATAGATGAAATCACAAAGGATTATTCATATATTCTTAAAAAAACGTGGCTTGATCTCTTCCTCTTCTTCGGAATTGTTCAGAGCCTTTCGGGAGTTCTTCAGAGCTTTGTTGCAGCGTTTCTTCGTCTGAAAGTTCTCCTCCTTCTCTCTCAACTGAGACCCCTATTTATAGGTGTGGAGGGGGTGAAAATAGGGCTTAGGGTTGCTGAAATTCGTCCATATCATGTGGGCCTGAATTAAAATGGGCTTCGGGCTCTATTTGCTTGCATTTAATAGCTAGAAAAATCAGCACTTGTTCGATGTGTCTGGACAGCCTTTTTAACAAGGTTCGCGGCCGTTTTCTATGCATATAGATGGATTTCTTAACTAGATTCATTGCTCTCTTCATTAATTGGATCATAGCTCTTACATATTGGGCCGCTATTTGATAAAGGGCGCAAAATTAATAGGATCGGTCCATTCCTTTAAAGATTTAATTTATAATTAAATTAATTGGACATTTGAGCGATCCAAATTAATTTAATCACTAAATTATATTCGAATGAACCCATATTAATATTTCCCTCTTTTTTGTAGGCCCAATAACCATTCAAAGGATGCCCAATAAGAATTAATATAGTCCGGTAGCATTCAAAAGAGCTTAATGACCATCACAACTGGCCCAACAATTTTTATATGTCCACAACTGCCCCTCGAGACTTGCTTGAACGTTCTTTGACGAGAAAGTAATTCTCGAATATAAGTTGGGCCAAATCACATGTTGACTTAAGATGAGAAGTCAATTGAAGATATATTCTCCTCTTTAATTGAATAGGCTTGATAGCCCAAAACCTATTTAGCCAACAACCAATCAACCTGGAAACCTTTTTAAAGCTAACATATGTGGAGTATTATTTTGCAAAACATCAAAATAATTGTCATGCAATTGAAGCCAGCCTATCAATTCAATCCTCAAAATCATCTCACGGCATCAAATTGAGTAGTCATAGTTGAACTCTTCTACCCGCCGAATAAACGTATCCTTCATAGAACTAATCTCCGTATCTATTTCCACTGCTGCGTTTTATCCGGATCGCCTTTCCTTTCAAGAATTATAAATAGGAGATCAGATCAATTCTGCAACTGCAAAATAATTATCTAGAGATCCCAAGATTCACCAATTCCTTAGAGCAAGAGATCTCAAGGTAAATTTAGTTTTATTCTAATTCTTTATCTCTCTTTCTTCTTTGGCATATTGCAGGGGAGATTTCTGGAGACAAATATCAGCCACATATGGAATCAATCAACCGAGCTCGAAATTTGCCGGAAGGATGATGTCCGTTCGATGTTCAATAGAAGCCGTCATAGTTGTTTCAGTTTGAAGAAACTATCGCCCAGTTGCTGCTGCTACTCGTTCCCCAAGAAGGATTAGTCTGGTACGGAAGATGAGATGGTGACGCTGCCCATCCGAGCTCGTTAAAAGAAGATGGACCACCAAATTGCTGAATCTGCTATGGTGCTAAGAAGACAATGAAGGAGCCAGAATCCTGAAGAGGCATAATAGATCGTCTCTTAAAGCTCAGAAGGTGTTGACTGTTGACCATGCTGCTGTAGACTGTAGTTGGAGGATGAATTCGAGATTAAAATATTGCCGGCCATAGCCTTGTCAATGCAGCAGTTCAAAATCGATTCAAGGAGGCTAAAGCAGAGAGTGGGGGTCCTGTCCAGAAGCAAGTGATCAAATTCACACGCTAGTTGATACCATCAAAACTTTGAAGAAGCCATTGTCCTACTCGTTCCAACTTGCCGTTGCCACTTGTTAGCCGAGAAGAAGAATTTCAATTGAATATGGCGAGGAATATGAGGTGTCAGTCCCGATGCAGGTCGTTCAAAGAAGAGGACATTGAAGGAGTCAATCCATAGCAGGCTGCCCAAATAAGAAAACGTTGAAGGTGCCAGTTCCTAGCAGGTCGTTCAAAGAAGAGGACATCGAAGGAGCCAATCCATAGCAGGCTTCCCAAAGAGAAGAAGACAATGAAGGATTCCATTCCATCGAAGACCGTTCCAAAAAGAAGAAGACAATGAAGGATCCCATTTCATCGCAGGCCGTTCCAAAAGGATTCTAGTTTCATCACAGGCCATTCCAAAGAAGACAATGAAGGATTCCAGTTCCACCGCAGGCCGTCCAGTTCCATCTGCAGCAAGAATATGTCACTTCTTCCCGCTGGTTGGTATAAAGGTCTGAGGATTTCAATGTATTCAATTTCAGATATGTTGTTTTTATGCATTTATTCATCGTGCTTAATGATTGAGCATTTGAACTGCCGTTAGCAGTTAGCTCTTATATACATATGCAATTTTGAACTTTCGTGCAGAAAAAGAAAGGATAAAAGGCCAGAGCTAAGGAGCACATTGACTTGTTGAATGTTGCTGTTAGTCAACCTAAAGTTCCATCTCGTAAATTATCTATTTGTGTGTACAAATGTTATTATTTTTTATCTAATCGAGTTACATTTTTCAATGAAATTATAAAATCCATTAAAGCTCAGAAGCTTTGATCATATACATCTCTTAGTCCTTTTACTCATGTGCTAATCTTATGGTGTTAATTGTGCAGGCGTGTAGCCAAAGTAATATTATGGTCTGGTGACTGGTGTGGATCCAAATCAATATTGTCTGAGTTCTTCAAAACCAGGTAATGTACAAAGGGTTTCAAGTGGAAGTTCTCACACGATCTGAATATCCAAAAAAATGAGAGAAGATTGTAATTTACAGATAAATGTGAGCATGGTGATTTTCTTATTATTTTAAATGTAGTATTTATTTAGTTATTTCTGCTGGATGTAACTTTGTTTATCTCCATATTTCATTTTGATTTGTTTTTGTTCTTTATTTGCTGCCTTCTTTTACAGTAAAAAAGAAATAGTGGAGGATCTGGAGTTTGTGGCCAAGAGACTTTGGAGGAGTTTGTGGCATACAAGGTGAGGATTATAACAAGAACCAATCAAGTTTCAGGGTCCACTGTTACCTTGTGTTTGCTTTTGTGGTGTCCACATCTATTATAGACTAGTTGGGAAAAGGGGTTATATTTTACATTTGGGGGGCTCTTCTCATGCTTTGTACTCCGTATGTGATTGTTAACCTCAAATGAAACAAAAATAAATCAAATAAAAATATTAAATTGTACCTATTCAGGTAGCTCTTTTTTATTGCAACGTAGACCTCACCTGTTGCTCCTGGTTAAAAGATCTTTCTGATATGACTTGAATAAAATGAGTGGGATTTCTGAGGAAGAATGTAGAGGTGTCATCATTCGTAGTACTCATGTACAGGTTTATAAATACTTTTTGGATGCTGAGGAGAAGAAACAGTATAAATCAAATAAAAAGATTAAATTGTACCGAACATGGTCTTACAGTTTGCAGTTTCAGGTAGCTCTTTTTTATTCCAACACAGACCTCAACTGTTGCTACTAGTTAAAAGATCTTTCCAATATGACTTGAATGAAATGAGCAGGATTCTTCAGGAAGAATGTAGAGGTATTATCATTTGTAGTACTCATGTGCAGGTTTGTATATACTTTTTGCCGTTTTTGGATGCTGAGGAGAAGAAACGATATGGATGGTTTTGGGTATGTCGAATTTGTGGTAAACACTGTCACTATAGATACACTCTTCCTCCAGGGTATGATCCGAAATCGCAGATGATAGGCAGCTGTTCACTGACATTGGACTGTTTCCAATGTCACATAAATACATATATTTATATGTATGTTTGTGTTTATTGTGTATGTGTATAATGTATACTTGTATACATAGCCACTGCTATTGGTTCAACCGTTCAATTAATCAATTATATACATAGTCTGCATGATAGGCTGATAGTCTTTTTGTAGAAAGAACTCGTGAAAAGTAGAATATATATTATGATTGTTGTTCTGTGTAATACAAGGAGAAGACTACATAATATATAGCCAGAGAAGAAAGTAAAATAAGGAAGGAAATCAAGGAATCCTTCTAATTAAGGTTCTCTAATAAAGAAAAGATATATGGGGATATTTAGAGATTCTGAGATCTCCAGGATATCTTCCCATAACTCCTCAATCGGGTGATTAATTAGGATAATCTCTGCAATAATCTACACTCCCCCTCAAGCTGGGTGATGGATATCATCCATGCACAGCTTGCTAGATAAGTCTTCAAACTGAATTCTGGGAAGTGCCTTGGTGAGTATATCAGCTATTTGTTGCCTGGTTGGAACATAGATTAGCTGGATATCCTTAGCTGCAATCTTCTCAGACAAAAATCTTCTATCTATCTCAATGTGTTTGGTCCTGTCATGATGGACAGGATTCTTAGCAATACTGATAGCAGATTGATTATCACATGAAATCTGGATGGAACTTTCAAATGGAAGTTTGAGCTCATTCATCAATCTTCTTAACCATAACCCTTCACAAATTCCTTGTGCTAAAGCCCTGAGCTCAGATTCTGCACTACTTCTAGCAACTACAGATTGTTTTTTGCTCCTCCAGGTGACTAAGTTACCCCATACATAAGTACAGTAACCAGTAGTTGACCTTCTGTCTAGGAGGCTACCAGCCCAGTCAGCATCAGTAAATACTTCAATCTTTCTAGTCCCCTGTTTCTGAAACAACAATCCTTTTCCAGGAGTCATTTTCAGGTACTTCAGAATTCTGTAGACTGCAGTTAAGTGTTCCTCAGTTGGGTCATTCATGAATTGACTTACCACACTTACTGAGAAAGCAATGTCTGGCCGTGTATGAGATAGATAGATTAGCTTTCCCACCAGCCTTTGATATCTACCCTTATCAACTGGTGGACTTTCAATCTCACTGCCTAACTTCTTCGATATATCCATAGGAGTGTCTAGAGGTTTGCACCCAAGCATTCTAGTTTCACTTAGCAAGTCTAGGACATATTTCCTTTGTGAAATGAAAATGCCCTTCTTAGATCTTGCCACTTCCATTCCCAAGAAGTACTTCAACTCGCCTAGCTCCTTGATTTCAAATTCTCTTGCTAGATGGGCCTTCAATCTGTCCAATTCAGCTTTAAAGTCCCCGGTCATGATAATATCATCGACATATACTATAAGAATAGCTATTTTACCAGAGTCTGCCCTCTTTATAAATAATGTATGGTCTGCTTGACATTGCACGAACCCTTGTTTAATTACTGATCTTGTGAATCTATCAAACCATGCTCTAGGAGACTGCTTTAGTCCATACAAGGACTTTTTCAGTCTGCAAACTTGGCCAGATTTCACCAAGTCTTCTAACCCTGGTGGTACATCCATGAATACTTCCTCTTCTAGGTCTCCATTAAGAAAAGCATTCTTAACATCTAGTTGATGTAATGGTCAGTCTAGGTTCACTGCGAGTGAAAGCAATACTCTAATGGTGTTCAACTTTGCCACTGGTGCAAATGTTTCTGAATAATCAATGCCATAAGTTTGGGTGAACCCCTTAGCAACCAGTCTTGCCTTAAGTCTCTCAATCTTGCCATCAGCCTGATATTTCACTGTAAATACCCACTTGCAGCCAACAGTCCGGTAGCATTCAAAAGAGCTTAATGACCATCACAACTGGCCCAACAATTTTTATATGTCCACAACTGCCCCTCGAGACTTGCTTGAACGTTCTTTGACGAGAAAGTAATTCTCGAATATAAGTTGGGCCAAATCACATGTTGACTTAAGATGAGAAGTCAATTGAAGATATATTCTCCTCTTTAATTGAATAGGCTTGATAGCCCAAAACCTATTTAGCCAACAACCAATCAACCTGGAAACCTTTTTAAAGCTAACATATGTGGAGTATTATTTTGCAAAACATCAAAATAATTGTCATGCAATTGAAGCCAGCCTATCAATTCAATCCTCAAAATCATCTCACGGCATCAAATTGAGTAGTCATAGTTGAACTCTTCTACCCGCCGAATAAACGTATCCTTCATAGAACTAATCTCCGTATCTATTTCCACTGCTGCGTTTTATCCGGATCGCCTTTCCTTTCAAGAATTATAAATAGGAGATCAGATCAATTCTGCAACTGCAAAATAATTATCTAGAGATCCCAAGATTCACCAATTCCTTAGAGCAAGAGATCTCAAGGTAAATTTAGTTTTATTCTAATTCTTTATCTCTCTTTCTTCTTTGGCATATTGCAGGGGAGATTTCTGGAGACAAATATCAGCCACATATGGAATCAATCAACCGAGCTCGAAATTTGCCGGAAGGATGATGTCCGTTCGATGTTCAATAGAAGCCGTCATAGTTGTTTCAGTTTGAAGAAACTATCGCCCAGTTGCTGCTGCTACTCGTTCCCCAAGAAGGATTAGTCTGGTACGGAAGATGAGATGGTGACGCTGCCCATCCGAGCTCGTTAAAAGAAGATGGACCACCAAATTGCTGAATCTGCTATGGTGCTAAGAAGACAATGAAGGAGCCAGAATCCTGAAGAGGCATAATAGATCGTCTCTTAAAGCTCAGAAGGTGTTGACTGTTGACCATGCTGCTGTAGACTGTAGTTGGAGGATGAATTCGAGATTAAAATATTGCCGGCCATAGCCTTGTCAATGCAGCAGTTCAAAATCGATTCAAGGAGGCTAAAGCAGAGAGTGGGGGTCCTGTCCAGAAGCAAGTGATCAAATTTACACGCTAGTTGATACCATCAAAACTTTGAAGAAGCCATTGTCCTACTCGTTCCAACTTGCCGTTGCCACTTGTTAGCCGAGAAGAAGAATTTCAATTGAATATGGCGAGGAATATGAGGTGTCAGTCCCGATGCAGGTCGTTCAAAGAAGAGGACATTGAAGGAGTCAATCCATAGCAGGCTGCCCAAATAAGAAAACGTTGAAGGTGCCAGTTCCTAGCAGGTCGTTCAAAGAAGAGGACATCGAAGGAGCCAATCCATAGCAGGCTTCCCAAAGAGAAGAAGACAATGAAGGATTCCATTCCATCGAAGACCGTTCCAAAAAGAAGAAGACAATGAAGGATCCCATTTCATCGCAGGCCGTTCCAAAAGGATTCTAGTTTCATCACAGGCCATTCCAAAGAAGACAATGAAGGATTCCAGTTCCACCGCAGGCCGTTCAAGGACAAGGACAATGAAGGAGCCAGTTCTATTAAGTATCAACAAAGAAGGTTACCCTGATGATCCCTTGTTCGATTCTTGAGGGATTAAAGCCGATTGGTGGATTGTTGTTGCCTTTGTGCTTCCGTCAGGGGAATTAATCGTCCGTTCTGAGATTATTTATCATCTTTGAGCTGCCTCTTTTTTTTCATTATTATTATTATTATTACTGTTTTACTATGTTTTGTTTTAATAATAATAATAATAATGACCTCCCCCCTTTTATCCAAGATCAAACTTTATTGGGGTTTGTGTTGTTATAACTGAACTCAAAAATGAAACTTTTGAGCTGCCTACGTACTCCTATAAAGGAGATCAAGTCAAACGTAGTTCATAGTACCATTTGAATAGGTAATTTAAAGGGGCGGGGTGCCGTACACAGTTTTAACTCATGCGGGCCAGGAGCTTGCCGTGCACATTTTTAACTCTCGTGGGACAAGAGTATCTATGATTATGCTCACCCATAGACAAAGTGGGATGTTTTAGCAGTTTAGCCACTTACAACATCATTGGTGGTTTAAGGCTTTCAACATTTTATTTGACATATCTATACCCCGACATCAAGGGTACTGGATTGTTAGAGTATGAACTCACATATTGGTCTTCATATTGACCACGGGTATGCACAATGGTCACTGGCTTGACTTTGAGTGCACTTCCATAGGTTACTTTAACACTGGTTTCTCGTTTCATACGAGATGGGATAAAACTTCTATACTCATTAAGACTTTGTTTTTCGAGAGGAACTTTAGTAGATGTATTGCGTTCATGGTTCAATCCCAATCGTTCATGAACAGACATTCTTTCGAAGTTTTGTCCCATGCATGGGTCTTCAGCGTGTTTCATCGTCATCGGGCTCATTCCAAGCCATTCTTGTAAAGTCTTCTTCATGATCTTCTTTGGCTTTGGCCCCATTCTGTCAAAGATGGTGGGTCTTGATCTTGCCCCCCCAATCCGATCAAAGACAGAATACTTCGGCTTAGAAGTCACTTCGTCTTCTTCATCAACACTAATATGATGCGTTGCGGCTCTATTTATAAGGATCCTTATGGGTTTCGGTTGATCATAACCCAATCCTGTGTGCCATCGAAGATTGATCTGCTTTGGTATCCCTTCACCACCAGCTTCCGGAATGAGTTTTCCCAACCTCTGTTCGTTGGGATTATCCTCAGCCTTGGCCAGAAGTTTGTATGCGTTTGGGTCAAATCCTTCATTTGTGCGTGCCTTAGGGAGATGAAATGTCTTAACATCATTCTCGTTTTTCACTTCCTTCTCGAACGTGTTTTGAGGAGGCCTTAATATCTCAATCTTTGGAAGAGGGAATGTAAGCCCTTCTACGCCTTCAACAAGCTTCCCTTTCAGCTTTGGTTCAATCAAGGGGCGATATTCTTCCACTTGTCTAGCATTCTCATCTTTAGAAACTTTGGCCTTTAGGTAAAACTTCGCATCTGCAAAGTATGTCTCGGTTTCTGTGAATGGAGTTTCATCGGCCGCTACCTTCTTTACAACACCATTTTGCTCATACATGAAGCATTGGTGCCATGTTGAAGGAATTACACCGTTCTCATGGATCCA